CACATCCAGCAACATTCCAGCCCTTTTCCTTGCTAAGGTGATCCTTGGAAGTGTCCAAGGCCAGGCTGGAGCAACCTGGGATCCACATCCAGCAACATTCCAGCCCTTTTCCTTGCTAAGGTGATCCTTGGAAGTGTCCAAGGCCAGGCTGGAGCAACCTGGGATCCACATCCAGCAACATTCCAGCCCTTTTCCTTGCTAAGGTGATCCTTGGAATTGTCCAAGGCCAGGCTGGAGCAACCTGGGATCCACATCCAGCAACATTCCAGCCCTTTTCCTCACTGAGATGATCCCTGGAAGTGTCCAAGGCCAGGTTGGAGCAACTTGGGATCCACACCCAGCCCTTTTCCTTGCTAAGGTGATCCTTGGAAGTGTCCAAGGCCAGGTTGGAGCAACCTGGGATCCACATCCAGCAACATTCCAGCCCTTTTCATAAGATGAGCCCTGGAAGTGTCCAAGGCCAGGCTGGAGCAAGCTGGGACAGTGGGAGGTGTCCCTGTGCGGGCAGGGTTTGGAATGGGATGGACATCATGGCTGGATGAGAAGGTCCAAGGTGGAATGAGATGGATCTCCAAGGTCCTTCCAACCCAAACCACTCCATGACCCTGTGATGATCTCCCAGCCATAAACCAGGACAAACCCCGGGATCACCCACCCCTCCCAGTTCCCCTGGACTCGGGCTCAGTGTCCCGGCAAAGCCCTTCCCACACTCCCAAATCCTCGCCAGCTCCTCCCTCCTGGCCTGCCAACAATCCCAAAATCCCTCCCGTGCCCACCTCTCCTCGGGCATGTCGCAGGACATGTTGTTGGGTTTCAGCTGGACCCACTCTCGGGTGCTGAGGTCGAGGCGGTGCAGGTCGGTGCTGTAGATGTAGCCGGTGGTGCCCCCGAAGACGTAGAGGCAGCCGTTGATGATGGCCATGGCCTGGGGACAACGGGCACACGGGCACCTCGGGGGCCGGAAAACCGGGAATGCCCGCCCTCCCCCACCCCGGGAGAAGGGAAGGGGCCTTTGCCCGGCGGGAAAAATCCCCTGGGGAAGCGCAGGGAGAGCGGCCCCGGCCGGGGGAGGGAGGGGATGTCCAGACACCACGGCCAGGGGGCCGGAAAGTTCCTGTGCTGACAAAAACGAGGCCTAAAAGTTGTTCCAGTAACACCTAAAAGTTCTTGTTCTGATAAAAATGAGGCCTAAAAGTTGTTCCAACAACACCTAAAAGTTCCTGTGCTGACAAAAACGAGGCCTAAAAGTTGTTCCAGTAACACCTAAAAGTTCCTGTGCTGACAAAAACGAGGCCTAAAAGTTGTTC